GGTTGGACAGTGAAAATCAGGTTGGGGCCCAGCCCTGCTTCAGCACACCACGGAACGGAATGCCCCGGGCTTCTCCAATGGTCTCAACCCCATACTGCAATCTTCTTTATCCTAGAGCCCTCACTTCCTCTTAGGCTAACCAGAGTCCCGACCTAAACCTCAGTTCCTCTGCCTTCTTTGGTTCTGGAAGAAGTTCCTAGTTGTGTGCTCCCAAAGCCACCAGCACAGCCTGTGTCATATTTTTAGAAATATGTCTTTTATATTCTGTGTCAAATTCTAGGCAGAAAAATCCTGCTCACTGAAGAAGAGACCCTTAGTTCATGTTGGTGGGGACAAACATAGGCACATTCTGAATATTTCTACCTGTATGTCCTGGAGCGTTGCATTCTCCACTCAGAAGCCAGCTCACCCTCACTTCCTCACCCCCTCCCCTTCCCTGTACCACCCACCCACTCAGAGACTTCTTTTTTTCCTCTAACATCCTCTTTGACAGTTTGGCAATACAGTCTGCTGCAAGTATAACTGCAGACTTGTGCCTAGACAGAAGAGGAGTTACTGCTCCAGGTCTGATAGTAATGTGATCTTTTCTTGTTTATTGCTTGGAACAGTGTCTTATGTTGCCCAGGCTAGCTTTGTACATCCTATGTATCTGAGGATGGCTTTGAACTCCTGATTCTCTTGACTCTACTACCTGAATGTCGGGATTGTAGTGTGTACCACCACACCTGGGAATAATTTGCTATTATTATATTTATTATTATTAATACCATTATTTTATGCGTATATGTATTTTGTCTGCATGTATGTGTGTGTGTAATTCATACATTTTCAATATTCTAGGAGGACAAAGTGGGTGTTAGATCCTCTGGAACTGGAGTGAGAGAACAGTGAACCACATGTGGGTGCTGGGAATTGAGCCCAGGTCCTCTCAAAGAGCAGAGTGTGATCTTAATCTTTCAGTCATCTCTTCAGACTCTGTTTTTCTTTCTTTCTTTCTTTCTCTCTTTCTCTCTTTCTCTCTTTCTCTCTTTCTCTCTTTCTTTCTTTCTTTCTTTCTTTCTTTCTTTCTTTCTTTCTTTTTCCTTTTTCTTTTCTTTTGGTTTCTCAAGACAGGGTTTCTCTGTGTAGCCCTGGCTGTCCTGGAACTCACTCTGTATGTAGACCAGGCTGGCCTCGAACTCAAGAAATCTGCCTGCCTCTGCCTCCCAAGTGCTGGGATTAAAGGTGTGTGCCACCACCGCCCGGCTCAGACTCTGTTTTTTTTTTTTACTAAGCTTTAATTTTGAGTATGTGTGTGCTTGTATGAATGTGTGTCTGTGAGTGTGAGAGGGTAGGTATGTATGTGTGTAAATGGGTGTGTGTGTATATCGGTATGTGTGTATGTATGCTGATAGATATGTGCATGTGTGTGTGTGTGTATGAGTGGGTATGTGTGTGTGTGTACAGGTGTTCTCAGAGATTAAAGGTGTTGGATCTTCCTAGAGTTGGCATCACAGGTGACTGTGAGCTGCCTAGTGTATTTGGTGGGAACCAATCAGGTTCTCTATAGGAACAGTGCACATTCTCAACTGCTGGGCCATTTCTCTAGACCTATTTATTTATTTTGATACAGGATCTCTCTCTGTAGCTCTGGTGATTCTATGACTTACTATATAGACCAGATTAACCTCAAACTCATAGAAATCTACCTGCCTCTCTGCCTCCAGAGTGCTACCACAGTTGGCCCTATTTATTTATAATATATATACACAGGATTTTATATATTATATAGTCCAGATTGGTCTCAAATTTCATAGTAAAGGATGACCCTGAACTCTTGATCCTGCTGCCTTGACTTCTCCATGCAGGCACAGCTTCTATGCCCAGATAAGTAAACACATGATGTCACTTCAATTTCTTCCCTTTTAATGCCTGTGGTAGAGCTGGGATTTAGGGTCTTACACTTGCCAGTTAGCTGCTCTACCACTGAGCTCTAGCCTGTTCCACCTCCCATATTCCGTCCACAAATGTCTGGCCTCTATGTCTGCATAGTGCTTTATGTGCATTACAAATGACGTCATTATACTCCTCCCCCAGTGTTTGGGATCCAGCAATGGCCGCATGACTCGATGACAGTGAGGGAGCACTCTTCCAGGGCTTTCCTCCACCCTCTATAAATAAGGTCTGGTCAGGCCGAAGATGTAGAGTGTCTTGAATATGAGCAGTCCTAACTTTGAAGGGTTGTGTGAGAATCCACTCATTCCCAAGCCACGTCTCTTGTGTGACAGACTCCCACTTGGTACCCAGGCACGCTTAACAGATTGAAACCCACTCTTCGTTCCTTCTCCTCCTCTCTGTTGAGCAGCTAATTCCTCCTCTTTCTCCTTAAAGATATATATGCTCTTAATCACTGAACCATCTCTTCAGCCCTAATTCCTTCTCCTTTATTTCTGTTCCCTTCCCCACCCCAACCCCCGTCCACTACTCCAGAATAAAGTGGGGGAAGAAAATTTGAGGGTTTTTTTTTTGTTGTTGTTGTTGTTGCAGTTGTTGTTATTTTTCTTTTTTTTGTTTTTGTTTTTTGTTTTGTTTGCTTGTTTTGTTTTTCGAGACAGGGTTTCTCTGTGTAGCCCTGGCTGTCCTGGAACTCACTCTGTAGACCAGGCTAGCCTTGAACTCTCGAACTCAGAAATCCGCCTGCCTCTGCCTCCCAAGTGCTGGGATTAAAGGCATGTGCCACCACTGCCCGGCTATATTTTGTATTCCTCATTAACATCTTTTCCTTAAAACTTTGTTTTGTTTTCTTTTTAGTGACAGGGTCTTGCTATATAGCTCATGATAGACTCAAAACCCCTTTAAAATAATTTTTTTTGTTTTGTTTTTGGTTTTTCGAGACATAAATTTTTTTTATATATTATTTGTGTGAGTGTTTTGCCTACAAGTATGTATATGTACTCTGTGTGTGTGTGTGTTGTCAGAAAATGGTCTTAGAGTCCCCAGAACTGGGGTTATAGGTGATTGTTAGTGCCATGGAGATGCTGGGAATGAAGCCTAGTCTTTTGCAAGTACTCTAACCACTGAGCCATCTCTCCAGTTTTATGGCCTCAAAAGTCTTAGTCCTCTTGCCTTCGAACTCCTGGTGAAGGGCTAACAGGTGGTGGGGCATGACATCTGTCTTCTCACTGTCTGTATCTAAGAATGAAATGAAGACATTAGCTGTCCCGTAGAGTCTCTGTGACTCTGATATTCAGGTGGTATATTGTCACTTCTTTCAGAAACCTACTCCCAAGGTCAGACATCACTTGACACTGAAACTTAAGATGAGTGTCCTGGCTTCACCTCTCATTCCACCACCAAATGACGACCCCCTCTTCTGTAACTGGTCTTTCTAATATGTAGGGCCCTGTTACTTAGGGCCAGAGTTCTTCTCTTTGAAACCAAGTAACTCTATCTAGATTGCAAACTGCTGGAATCAGCCGGCTTCATCTTTTGCTCTGAAAGGCACTTGCAACGCAAATGACGCTCAGTAAACATTTGGTGAAGGAACAATTCACTTTCCTTATTTTAGTGTATCCGTTTTCTCTAGTGTAGCAGACGCTACAATATAATTAATATAATATAATTATATAATATAATATAATATAATATAATATAATATAATATAATATAATATAAT